CACAAGGCATCAGGCTGGGAAGGATCCTCTGGTTCTTCTGCTCCTCTGCCTTTGAGGGCACTACCTTCCACAGCAAACACTCAGGGACGGGGTTTGACCTCTGCCACCCCTCAGTGCCCAGAAGAGTCTCCCTGACTGACCCCGGCTTTTCCCTCTCTCTGCTTCCCTACATCCATCCCTTTTCAGCACAGGGGTGTTAAACATCCTGCTCCACTGCCACGGCATTGAATATTAGGCTGTTTTTAACACCACGATGTATAAAATTTAGAAACCCTTTTTTCCCTTTTCCCAGCCCCAGCCTCTCAGGGAGGGAGCCACCGCGATGCCTCCACCTTGATTTTGTCATGATGAGCGGCCCCAAACCAAACCCAACACCTTTTCCCGCACCAAAACTCCGCTCAGCTTGGGTGAAGAGCTGCCCAAACTTTTCAGGACTGTCCTTGGAGCACACAAACACAAATTTTGGCTTCCCCCAGGCAGGGGCGGCGATGCCACCCGCGAGCGGCTCGGTGGGAGCGCAGCGAGTGCAGCCAGCAGCGCGGCCCGGCATAATTGCGCAGCGTTTTTATTCGCGTCATCCCCCGGCTTTGGCACGGCTTTTATTACAGTCATTACCAAGACAGATATTACTTTTGGATTGACTCACTTGATGGGTTGATCAGCGCTTTATTGTAGCCTCCAGTCACAGCGCTTTTTATGGCAGCCAGGAGAACTGAACCATTAGCACACGCTATTAGCAGGAACACTGGCAACTGATTAAGTTGCTGAAGGTCAAAGACATTTTTCTTAATTGCTCCGTGGGTGCTCCCTCCTCCTCCTCCTCCTCCTCCTCCTCCTCCCCTGCAACAGAGCCGGAGGGAGATTATTCCCTTTTAATAACGAAGTCACGGAGCGACACCTCAGATTTGCCATCGGATCCCCGGGGAGAGGCTCGTTCCCCACCCCGGATCCTCTCTCGCTGCTGAATGAGGGCTTGGAGATTTTCAGAGATGAAAACCAAAAAAAAAAAGTCATCAGGGTGACTTAGTGGGTGCCACATGCTGCAAATAATGGGGGGGGTCAGAATGGAGTGAGTGGGGTGCCAAAGGGTGACCCCAGGGATGGAGGGAGATGGGAGATGATTTTCCAGCCTTTGTTGGCTCTCACAACTTCCAGCTGAATTTTCCAGGCTTTGTGACCTCTCACAACTTCCAGATGGATTTTCCAGCATCTCTGGGCTCTCACAATTCCCAGCTGTTTTTTCCATCCTCTGTGGGCTCTCACAGTTCCCAGCTGGGTTTTCCAGTTTCCGTGGGGTCTCCTCATTGAAGCTGCTGCCAGAACAATCCCAAGAGGAGATCTCAGAGTTTGGGAAAGTCTCTCAGACCAGCCTTGTCATTCCCTTCCTTGGAATGCAGCCCTTGAGGTGTTTTCCCGTGAATTCCCAGGGAAAGCTGGGGTGTCCATGCCCCGTTTTCCAGGCTGGGCTCCCAGCGCGCTCCAGAGGAACCACAGGAACGACAATTCCCAGCTCAGGGTGAGCCAGTGGCACCTCCCTCCCTGTCCCCAGTGCAGGGGACACACAGAGATTCTCCTTGTAAAGTCCAGGCTGTGTTTACCTGGAGCTTATTCATTACCCAGCACAGCTAATTAATGCAATTATGAACTATGGGATTCCTAAATTTGACTGTGACCATTTACATTTTCTTTTCCAGCTTTTCCCCTCCCCCTGCCCACCTGAGCTGAGAAGCTAAAATCACCAAAAGCCATTTTTGTGGTAAATTCCAGCTCCAAAATCTGATCCGTGGTCCTGGTGGCCTGAGAGAGTCTCATCCCCAGGTTTGGCTGCGCCGGGGGTGTTTTCCTTCAACTTCATCCTCTTTTATCTCAACACATCTCCCACGAAGAGCCAGTTAAAGAAATATTAAAAGGACAAAAAAGTCCCCCCCAATAAAATAATGTCCAACATGGTGAGGACAGAGCTGTCCCATGGCGCAGAAGGGAATTTTGGGAAATTAAGAAACTCTTTTTTTTTTTTTCCAGGAACTTGGGAAGAAGGGGAGAGCCACATTCAGGGCACAAGGTGTCCATTTTGATGGGAATTGTCTATAGGAAAAAAGCTGTGTTTTATTAAAGAATAATGCCCCATCACTTATGCTCAGAACTGCCTTTGGAAGTTGCCTGWTTTCMTGGATTTTCCACTTAAATGAAGTTTTATTATTCTGCTGTCTCCTGTTACTTGTGAGAATTTATAAAACACTCCTCCTTCAGCCTCCTTCAGCAAATCCAATAACCTCGAGAGGAAGCACAGACCTCTCTTATCCCTTTCCACCCTAATTAAGGTGCTCTTCAGCATCTTCTTCCCTGGGGTGATACCTAATTAGGGTTTGTAATTAAAGCTGTGCCCCCAGGTTGGCACCAGTCCAGGCCCTGCCATGGTGACCCTGCCAGGCTCAGGTTGTCCCTCAGCCCTCGGTGGCACTCAGGGGCTTTGCAGGACATCCCAACAAAGAGTTCTGCTGAGCTTTTGGGATCAGGGGATATTTTGGGATTTTCTTCTGTGGTTTTCACTGCTGGGTCCAAATTTTCCCCATTAAATGCGTGGAGCCTGAAGACTTTCCATCATTCAGCCCTGTGTCAAATTTGCCTCTGTTAATTGATCTTGGGGCCTCAAAACCTATTGATCCATCCCTAAATACAGCTCAGATTTTCTCCCTGTCCCTCTTTGCACCGAGTCCAGCCCCTGTGGCAGGGCTGGAGAGAGTTTACCATGGTCCCATCTCCTGAAATGTGCCTCTCCCCTGGTGCAGTGACCATTCTGGGCATTCCAAATAGGGATATTTTCCCTCTGAGATCAGGGCTGGAGTTCCTTTGGGACCTAAACAAAATAAAGGTGACCCGATGGACATTGCAGAGGGTTAGGAAATCTTTCCTGAGAAAACTCACAGAGCCCTCATTTCCCTCATTCACACCCCTGAAATCAGTCCCCCCATGGAAATGAACCCAAACAAGCAGAATTTCAGGCCTGTTCCAGCAGAAGAGAGAAGAATTTCACCTCAAATACAATAAAAACTAGACAGAACATTTGCAATGTTTTGGAGCATTCTGCTCTCACTTTTACCTGTAATTCCAGGTCATTTGTATAATGGCATTTATCCTTCACCATTAAAGCCACAGAAACAATGATTTATTGTCACAGAAGCAGCTGAAGGACTTTGGTTTTCACAAAAAGCCGCAGGGTGGAGGTTCAGCTGTGGGAGAAGCAGCTCAGCCAGGAAAATCAGGGAATAGGGAAGGATTGGGCCCCTCCTGACCCTTCAGCATCTCCACAGCCCCCTTGGATGGTGGCTTTTGAACTGCACTTTAAAAAATGAGAAAATATAAAAATCGCTGAGCCATTCCCAGATTTGAGCTCTGTCCCTGCCCTGCTGACCCTTTGGCCACAGGGCTGGGGACAGGATTGGACTCCATGGGAAAACAAAGATCCCAACTGGCCCCACATCCACAACCTGGGGATGATTTCCCAGAGAAATCCAGGAAGGAGGAAGATGTTAAAGTCAAGCAATGTTTATGTCAGGTGGATTCTAATGGGTTTATTTTGAATTTCAACATTTCCAGCCTCCCCCCATTCCCATTTTTTTTGGCCATCCAGATTCCTTTCACTTCACCCACCACCCGGCCACCAAATAAAGAAGGGAAGCACCACTGACCAGTGTCATTATTTATTACAAATTATATCTTGAAAATTGCTGTCCAAAAAAAAAATAGATTTAAATAAATATACAGATTTCAGGATGCTACATATGGCAAGTGTGCAATGTCACTTAAGGAGGGAATATTTTACACACACGAGGAGATTGACAAAGTACTTTACAGCAGTAGTTTTATTTTAAATTACTCACATTAAAATGTGCAAAAGTTTCCTCTGGAACAAATCCTTTCAGGATTTTTTGGTTTTTTTTTTTTTTATTTTTGAGAATAACTCCAACCTGCAGAAAGTCAAATATGAAACAGATTCTCTGCAGCTTTAGGGACCAAATGATTAATCTGCTGTTTCATTCATGACACAATCAATTGGTCGTATTTTTCCCCGCTCTGGGGCTTAAAGCAAAAATCAAGGAATTATTTTTTCGTGTCTATCAGGACTGCATTTGCAACAGCCGCAGATTTTGGTCCACCACCAACTTCGAGCAGCCTTTCCAAAGCTCCTGTGTCATCCTGGGCAGCCGAGGGGCACAGCAGTGGCTCCAGGAAAGCAGTTCTTGACTTCTTGACCAGGTGACAGCCACGGCTTCTCACAGAATTTCTTACAGAGTTTGCTCTGCCCAGGCGAACCAAAGCACATTTGTGGCACAGCTCTGGTGCCTCGAGGCTGTGTTTGGCCACAAGGTCGATTCCCAGAGCCTGGGCTTGGGGTTTTTTTCCCCAAAATTTTCCTTTTCCTGGGCCAGCAGATCTGGGTTTAAATCTGAGCCTGAGCTCAGACAGGACTGTGCTCCCTGACAGAATCCCACAAGGTTTGGGTTGGAAGGGAGATTAAAAAAGATCCCCCAGTTCCAGCCCCTCTTCCTGCCAATCCTTTCCTCCTCATCACTCCCACTCAGCGCCCCTCATCTGATTCATTCCCCACCCAGGGCTGGTCATTTACTGTCCAGAGCCCAACTCAGACCCAGCCTAAGCCAAGCAGCAAACCTGGCTTTGGGTGCTCTTCCACCCCTACCCAGCTCTCTGTTCCCAGCCTTTCCCTCCAGACAGAGCTGGGAGAAATTTGAGATATTGAGGAGCTGGAAATATCCTCAAATATTCAGAAAATTTGGGATATTGAGGAGCTGGAAATATCCTCAAACTCTGCCTGACTAAGGGAACGTCCAAGGAGATGGGATGGGGTCACTGACCCAGAGCAGGGCTCACTCCCTGCCCTGGCTGTGGGGCTGCAGCACAAACTCAACCCCACTGCAGCCTCCCCAGCCCACCCCAGTGCCCACTGGCAGGGGACACGCCTGGGTTGGTGCCAGTCCTGGGATAACTGACCATCCACATCAACCACAGCCCCTGCAGGACCAGGGGAAAATTCACCCCAGGGCATTTCTCAGCTGCTCAATGCTCAGCTGCCTTCCAGGGRRTGGTGATGATGATGATGATATCAACCTTAAATACACACTGGGAGCTGTTTCACCGCAGCAGCCTCATCCACAGGCACTGACTGACAACAGGAATAGTGCAAAGGGGCTGCAGGGAGCAGCCAAACCCTCCCGAGTGGGGCTCAAGTCCAGTCCCGAGGCAAAGCAGCTCAGGCTGGGCTCAGGGGCTTGGTTCTGCCCTGTCCAGCAGTGCCCAGAGCCCCTGGCTGTGATTCACTGATTCACCCACCAAGCCCTGCCCAGGGCTCCAGGGCAGAGTCCAGCAGCTGCTGCTGCTCCAGCACCACCCCTGCCTGATCCAAAAAGGCACAGTTGGGCTCCAGGACGCTTCTCTGACTGCACGGAGACAGTTTTCCCTTGACAACAGTCCCTGGAGTGCTGGTTCAGGCAGCAGGAACACGGAGACTTCCACTTCCATCCCTTCCACTCACGGGCTTTCCTTCAGCTCTAACAACCGGCAGCGGAGCTGGTGGCACCCACAGGATGCCAAATTCTTCTGGTGAACTCGCTGTGCACCCGTCTCTTATCTCTTCTTCTTCCAGACTGTTTTTTCCCAAGGCAGCACTGGCGGCCGTGTGTCCCTCTGGGAGTGCTGCTGGTGCTGGCCGGAGTGCGGGCCGGAGAGCCTGAGGTCCCTGGGGACAGAAGGGACACTGTGGTCACTCCCCAGCCCATTGACTGCTCCTCAGCACCCCACATTGTGACATTTATCTGCCCCCATCATCATTTGCTGGGAGGCAGCAGAGGGAGGAAGAGAAGGAATTTCCATCCTCTGCTGGATTGAGCCCCAGTGAGGGGCCAAACCCAGTAACGATTGGGGAATCAGAGGATTCAGGGATGACCCAAAGTGCTGTTTGCCCAGATCTGCCTTTCAGGAAGTGTTTCCCTTCCCTCTGATTTAACTGCCACAAATCCATTAATTTGCCACCTCTCTTTAATCAGTTACTCCCCCGGAGTTGTGGTTTCTCCCCACAATTCCCCAATTCACCACTGTGGGGTTAGAAAATCTCTGTCCTTTTCTCCAAAGCTGCTGCCCAATAAATTAATTTTCCTAAACATCACCATCCCCACTCCCCCTCCTTGTACATCATCCTGTCCCACCTTGGAGGAACTCCCCACTCCAATCAAGAATTGCATTTCATGTGACACTGCCCTGGTTTGGGAAGGACACGGGCAGCCCTGGTTGCCTCGTTTGGAGCTTTCAGCACCACAGCGAGCAGGAACAGCCAAATCTCCTCATTTGAAGGGGACAGGAGGAGGAAGGCAGGTGGCAGGAGGTCACATCCGAGTGACAGCAGCACTCTGGGGCCGCAGTCACAGATTTTCAGGTGTTTGTGGAGGGTGTTCAGAGGGGCTCCAGGTGCTCACCTGAGAGCTCTCAGCAGCCCGTGACGGGGAGGACTCGCGGTGCCGCTCTGCAGGATCCTCGCTGATGCTCCGGAGCTCACCGGGAGCTTCAGGCTCTGCAGGTACCTAAAGAGCGAGGGGAGAAGCGTGAGCCACCCGCAGCCAGGCGCGGGGAGCGCGGGGGGAGCCCTGCGCGGTGACAGACAGCTGAATGCGCCGCTCTGAAGGGTTAATTGCAGCTATTTGGGAGCGATTCACGGCTCGCTCCCCTCTGCCGAGCTCTATTCACACGATAATATCACTGGTTAATGATCGGGATTGTAACTATCGCCCCGCGATGGGATTAATGACAGATCATGCACAGCTCCCACCTCCCCACAGCAGCGACGGAGACCCCACACGCACCAAGAACAGAGGCGGCCACCGAGGGCGTTTGGCTGCTGAGACCCAGCTCACAGCAATCCTGCTGAGCCATGAGGGGACACTGGTGTCCCAAAATTACAGACCCTGGCTTGTCCCCGTTCCCGGTGCTGCCAGCTCTCCCTTCTGAGCAGGGGACACCGGTGTCCCAAAATTCCAAATCCTGACTTGTTCCCATTCCCAGCTCTGCCTTCTGAGCAGGGAACACTGATGTCCCAAAGCTCCAAACCCTCGCTGGTCACATTCCCAGGGTGCTGCCAGCACTCTCTTCTGAGCAGGGGACACTGGTGTTCCAAAATTCTAAACCCTGACTTGTTCCTGTTCCCAGAGAACTGCAGCTGCTCCTTCTGAGCAGAGGACTGTGGTGTCCCAAAATTCCAAATCCTGACTTGTTCCCATTCCTAGCTCTGCCTTCTGAGCAGGGGACACTGATATCCCAAAGCTCCAAACCCTCGCTGGTCACATTCCCAGTGCACTGCCAGCACTCTCTTCTGAGCAGGGACACTGGTGTTCCAAAATTCCAAACCCTGACTTGTCCCCGTTCCGAGGTGCTACCAGCTGTCCCTCCTGAGCAGGGGACTCTGCTGTCCCATAGCAACCTCTCAGTTCTCACTCCTGAGCAGGGAACTCTGCTGTCCCAAGCTCCACACCCTGACTTCTCCCCGTGCCCAGGTGCTGCCAGCTCCCCACCAGCACACCCAGCACACCCCCAGTCTCCTGGCAGCAGCAAGGGTGGAGGTACCGGCGCTGCCTCTCAGTTGCCAAACGGACGGCTGCACATCCAAACCACCCGGTGACACCACCAGAGCTCTCGTGACGGGAGAAAAAAGCCACCGGACAAGTGCCATCTGTCCCCAAAGTGCCATCCCCGGGGAGCTGTGCAGACACCGCACCCCTGAGCGCTGCCTGTGCCCCACCCTCACAGAGCAGCCCCCGGGGACAYCCCCAGCACTCACCCGGGCTTCCCCTGGCAGAAGGTGGCACAGACGCTGTCCCTGGAGTGGGAGCACTCGCACCTGCCCGCGGACCTCTTGCGCCGCCTTGGCGGGCTGCCCARGCCGTAGGGAGCGGTGTGCCTGGGAAAAACAAAGGAATTCAGCTGTGCCACCAACTTTTTATTGGCCAGCAGGTTTACAGCAGGGTCCTGGGCGGCAGCCAAGCCACTGCCAGGATAATAAAAAACTCATCTATAGGCATTAGGTGAAAAGGTCGCTGCTGGGTCTAAGCCTTGAAACTCCAGCTCCTCTCCCATCAACTTTTTCCCCCTTCGCTCCCACCCAAGACATTGCTGCTCTGTGCTGGCTCCATTTCTGGGCAGTTTTCTCTCCTCGCAGAGGCCCAGTGCCCGTGCAAGTGTTGCCACAGGGGCTGGGCGAGCTGGCAGCTCGCACGGGTGGCACAGGCTCTGAGGGGCACGGCTGACCAGTCCGGCAGCCCAGTCCCCCCGGCACAGCTGAGCTGCTGGTGCTCTCCCTCCCCGCGGGTTTAACACCGCACAGCCCGAGCTGTCCCGGGGCCAGAGCAGCTTCCCGTGCTCGCAGCCAGCTTCCCAGAGCTGTGAAAACATTCCCCTCCATCTCTGATGGCAATCTCCTCTCCCAGAGGCTTCGGGATTGGCAGGGACCGCAGCTCTTCCCCGAGCAAGCAGCGAGTTGTAAATGCATGTCAGCGAGCGCGATTATAACCACACCTGAGCGCGTGTGCCGCGCTCCAGTGGGATGGCCATCGCTCTGCGAGCGCCGGGAGAGCTGCTCCGGCATTCCTGAGGGCAGGACTTGGCAGCCGCGGGCCCGCAGTGCCAGCCCACCCCGCCTCAGTAACAGCGCTGGCAGTTTGCGAGCGGGGAGAGAGGAACTTTCTGACTCGCAGYTACAACAGCTCGGCGCCGCTCTGGGCTTGCAGAGGTGCAAACCTCAGGAAAAGCCCAGCCCGCGAGGAAGCGGCGCTCGGTGAGCTCACCGCGATCGCTGGGGGTTGGACAAATACCTGAGCAGCGGCACAGCGTGTCCCTTTGCAGGCTGAACGGGCTCCCTGCAGCAGGTGCTGGGACCCTTCCCCACCTCCCTGCAGCCCGAGCCTGCCCTGCAGCAGAAAGCGCAGCCAGAGCCACCCCCGAGCGCTGCCCCGCTGCTCACCCTGGTGTGTTGACCCAGATGATGTCCAGGTGACAGAAGTAGATGCATTCCTTATCCAGCCAGCTGTTGCACGAACATCGCTTGCTCCTCGGCGGCGCGGCCAGGTGCGGCTCGGCCGGGGGGTGGCCCAGACCTGCAGCAGAGGGAGCGAGGGATCAGTGACCCGTCCGGGTGTCCCCTCCGAGGATCGCGGAGATGTCTCCGCGCCCATGAGGCTGCGGCTCCTCGGGGACCGGCACAGCYGGGGGGGCTCCCGGAGCGAGGGACCCATCCCACACCCTCCGCGCACACCCCGGGCACCCTCGGGCACCCCCGGCCCCGCTCCCCGCTCCGAGGAGGCGCAGAGGGTCCCCCCTCCCGGGCGGGCACCCCGGGACACCGAGCCCCCCACAGTCCGGGGCTCACCGGCTTCCAGGAGGGCGCACAGGGCGAGCGCCAGCAGCACGGCGGGGTGGCTGCCCATGACCGCGGCTCTGCGCTGGCGGCTTCGAGGCTTCTCCTGGGCTTTCCGTCCTTTCGCTGCCGTCCCGGCCCTTCCAGCTGAGCAGCCGCGCTGAGTCTGAAGCTGCCGGGCGCCCGGCAGGTGCTTTATAGCCCTGGCMCGGCGCGTCACCCGCTCCGCCCCCGGGGAACGCCGGGCTCGCGTGGGGCGGGCGTGGATCCCCCGCTCCTCCCAGAGCCCGTACGGACCCTCTGCTCCCACCAGGGAGGGCGCGGACCCCCGCTCCTCCTCGGGTGTGCATAGACCCCCTGTTCCTCCCAGGAAAAGCACGGATCCCCCCCTTCTTCCCACGGAGGGCACGGACCCCCTGTTCCTCCCCGGGTGGGCAAGGACCACCCCTCGCCTCTTCCCACGGAGGGCACAGACCCCCCGCTCCTCCCAGAGAAAGCACGGACCCCCCCTCCTTCCCCTTTCTTCCCACGGAGGGCACGGACCCCCGCTCCTCCTCGGGTGGGCATGGACTACCCCTCGCCTCTTCCCACGGAGGGCACGGATCCCCCGCTCCTCCCAGAGAAAGCACGGACCCCCCATCCTTTCCCCCCGCCTCCCACAGGGGGCACGGAACCCCTGCTCCTCCCCGGGACACGCGTGGGTTCCTTTGCTGCCCGAGCAGGGGGAGCGCTGGACGGGATGGGGAGCTCCGGGGAGAAAGTGGCCGGGAGTGGAAAAATGTTCGGGAATGGGGTGCGGCATGGAGGGACTGAGTGCGGAGTGTGTCCCGAGGGGTCCCGAGTGGATCCAGAGCTGCAGGTGGAGGCAGCGAGCAGCAAGGGGGGGTTTGCATGCAGTGTCCCCCTGGGAGCCCCCCGGCCGCCGGGGTTTATAAACCTGCACAAACTGGGCAGAATTCAAAATGTAATTCAAGTTTTCGCTTGAAATGCCTTAATTTCACTTACTTACTTAATTTTAATAAAAACTTTATTGATAAGC